GATTTATATATTAGATGTATTGGAAGTACCAGTGAAATATACAACAAAAAGTGGGCCAAACTATTACAGCAATTGGCGAGAGAGAAAGAGAGAGAGAGAGAGAGTACTGTAATTTGAATGAATGTCTTATTTATTGGTATTTTGTTCGTATGTATCGATTATTTTCACCGCTCTTTCAAAACAAGAGAAGCAAATCTAATGATGTTTTGCTTCAATAAAACTCTCGATTCTGTAGTAAATGTACTCAACAAAAGAAAAGACAATTACAGGTAACGTGTAATTCAATATTAATTATTAGGCACTGGTATTAGTTCTAACATTGGTATTAATCACTAATATGTCTGGAATTATATGTTTTAGGCTTAATTGCAAAGCCTTACCCATTGAACCGGTTTTCGTGAAAAAAATTATTTACTTATTTTAAATTCGGATACAGTTAAGTGAAACCAATGACTGTAGGCTATTATAGCTTTCACTATATTAGAGTTATGTTGTTTTTTATTATGAGATTTAAGTTAAGCCATTATTTGAGGAAAACTCTCTATTCGTCAGAAAAACTGTTTTTAATTGTATTAGTTCTCAAACTAATAAAAAACTTTTCAATAGTTTTAAAACAATTGGATGAAAGAAACAATTGCTGGCAATACTTATGGAAAGTGATAATTATTTAAGTGCTTGATTTACAAACACTTTACCACTTCCTAGATATAGTTAACTCGTTTACATCCCATTATGAAAATCAATTCATTTTACACTCAAAATATTTTGTTTATTAATAGAAGTTAAATTGATTTTTAACTAGTGATATGTAATCGAGCGTAAAATGTTGTTATTTATGTAAAATTAAGTGCAACATTAATCTCTTGTATGAAAACTTATTAAAATGTTTGAATTGTTTCTGTTTTTATGTATGAATTGTTGTAATTTATAAAACCATTTATTTTTTAAGTTATGAAAATTTAGCCTTTGAATATTATATGTTCTTATATTGTAGGTTATTGTTTAGTATTAATGTTATAATATAATGAAATTATAAGTTATTCAAATAAATTGAATATTGTATTTCAATTTTAGGAAAAGTTTGCCTAAATTTTAAAGTTTTATTAGATTTCTGTGAGTGCTAACTGTTTTAATATTAACCTATTATTAACTCACTTTTGTTTATTTCTCGTTTTGATTATAATATATCTTAAAATGTGAAACAAATCCTTATAATCACATGAACTTTAAGAATAAAAAGTATTATCATTTTGATTATGTTTTGTCATGATTTGTGCCAAACACTAATTTTTGATATTCTGTTTCAAGCAACGGTTCAAATTGTATTTCATGTGATTATATACAGACAGAACACAGAATCATATTATAGTCCATATTATTCATAATCTTGCGATCAATCAGTATTATGTTATGTTTATTGTCAGTCTTTTATAGCCTGTAATTTATATACTTACTATCCGAAAATGCATTGTTAGTTGTCTCAACCGATAATGAAAGTTGTACAAAGGTGGTATTTTCAATAATTCCTAATATCGTAAAGATAAATAAAATCGTGTAGTATTAACAACACTGTAAAACACTGTATTACATTGTACTGTATATAAATAATTTCCAATAAACTGTATCCGTCCAAATATTTAACTGAAATAAATAAATTAATTGGTTAAAGAATTATGAATTAATTAGAAAGCAGTTTGATTTGTTAATAACAATAATTATTAATTTTCTCTAATATGAAACAAATAAAATCAAATGACATGTTTTTTGTATAATTATGTGTCAATTAATATGCATTTTTACAAATAATGATTAAGTATTATTCCATTGATTTTTAAATTGTTTATAGCAATCATACAGTATATCAAAATGTAAATTAAAAATTAGATTTACTTAAAATTTAAGTTTAGAAAGTATTAACTTTTTTGTAAATTTTGTTAACATTTTTAAATATAAATATTAAATGAATACTTAAAATTATTTATAACTAGTTTTCTCGTTAGAAATGAAATCAAATACTAGAAAAACGCATTTGTCATCACAAAACACAGGAAATCAATTGGCAGTGCTTTGACTTATAATTAGATTCAAAGGGCAATTAAAATTGTTTTACTAATAATAAGAGTAGAAAAATGACAATTAATTTCAAGTATTTGTTGCTTTTTTGCTGTTGTCTTAATCTTACGGTATTGTGAGAACCCATTTAAATAAAAACCATTTTTAATCACAACTTTGTCTTCAATAATATCTTTTTATGTTACAATAATTTGCTTCTAATTAATTAATTGTATAATAAGTTTTTAATAATAATTACATTCAATTATTATTATATTATAGTATCGATTACTTGTCGACAAGTGATGTAATAGTCCTAACAAACAATTGAGTGACAAAAACAAGTTTTAAGTCTTTTTGAAAAAATTTCTCTCGTTTTTGGTTTCCAATAATAACTGTATGTTTTATTTTTGTATTTGTTTCACTAAACGATTATATAATTATATGAATGACTAACTGTTCCCCAAAGACATGATTCTCACCATTGGTTGATATGATTAGTTATCACAATAATAAACAAATTACTGTTCAAAATAAATAAAAATAATTATATAATAAAAACAATACTGTATATTCTGTATATTTATATAATTAATAATATTGGTAAAAATAATTCATAAAGATAGTAATAATTATAAGACATGTGTGTTTTGTCATATAACATAAAACTTAATTCTAATACAATGTACTAATAATAAATAACAAGTATATGTTTGGGTAACAATCAATAATTTACTGATTTATTACAGAGAAATCTCATAATAATAAGAGTGAGAAACGCTTTAATTGTAGTGAAATCCTCGCATTAATAGACAACTGAATTACTCTTTCAGACAAATTTATATTTCTATTGCTTTTCCGTGATTTTCGCATCAATTTTTATAGTTATGTTTTAAGTGCAAGAAATGGCAAAAACTTTGTTGAATCCATTTTTTCATATCAATTATGTATTCATACAAAATACAAATATGAAATACAATCGTTAATCGCAAAAAGATTTCGTTTTCATCGTATAAAAAGCATAAGTAAACCAAAATTCAGATCCAATTAATTGAGTATTAATTATTCAGTTGAATACTAGACGTGATAATAGTGTTGAACACAATCGGGAGACCCTTAGAAAAAAGGAGTGAGTCTGCCATTAATTTCAATTGTCATTTATAATTGAATTAGTTTTTGGTTTGAGTTTCTCTTTTTTCGACTCAATATATCAATCGAAACAAATGGTCGCCAAAAGTAGTCCTAAACTGTTGAGTGGTTTTACGTGTTTATCACAAATTAAAAAACATGACACAGTTTTTGATGGACTTTGTACAGAGCCATCGGTTCCAACAATTATATTAACAACAATAACAACGCTAGCAATTGGGGGGAAAGGGAAGGGCTCTACTTTGACCGGACGGGCCGCTCGCCACCACTGGCGCACCGCCGACACCGCTATTACTGTTCGCACTGTTGTTGTTCTGTTGAGCGAAGGCCACAGTCTTCTTGACGGCCGGCACTGGAGGGCCGGCGCTCACCGGGTGTCCCGACTCTAAGTCAGTCAGGGCTGTCAGGGCTGTCAGGGCTGTCAGGCCTGTCATGGCAGCGGCGCTCATAGAGCTGGTGGTAGTGGTTGTGATGGCGGCTGTTCCCGCGGTTGTCTCACATATGGTGAGCGCTGTGGGCGACGGCCCCGGAGTGAGGGCCGACACCGTCGGTAACATACTTGTTGTGGTCGATGGGATGGAAATCGGCGGCAAATGACTGTAAGTGACCGCCGATGACGATGTGATGGTTGTGGTGGTCATGGGATTCGTCTGAACGTTGGATGAGATGGGATGCGATGATATGACAGGCATTGATGGGTCGAGCTTTGCAACTGTCGGTCCTTTATTTGATGATAGCATGGAGTCATTGCTGGCACTCCTCGAAGTAGAGCCTAATGTGGCAAACATTTGATAATTAGGTTTTTGGCTACAAATAATTGATTTGATGATAGGAATCGATAGGAATTGATAGGAATTGATAGGAATCGATAGGAATCGAGAATTACTTCTCCTTTGGGGCCAAATCTCGAGCAAAAACTTGAAGACTTCGATCGGTTTGTGAAGGTTTTCACTCTCCGAATGGCATGTAAAGAGTGGCCCAAAACAGATGGCTATGGCCTGCGATGACATCTTATTCCTGTCGGCGCGGCTCATAATCTTCTTCAAGTGATCCATCAAATACAAGACAGTGCACTGAAAACGGACAGACAGTTTGCAACAGTTATTTACAGTGACTCACAGAATATACACGTTTCCATACGAACCCTATTGATCTTTGGCAGGCATTCCAGTATTGAGAACATGAGTTTGGCATTACCAGCAGGGTCATCGGCCAAACACACACTTAACCCATCGTCCATCATATCGAATAATGCTCGAGTAAATAACGGCTCCGGTAGCTCACGGATATAGTCTTTCAGTAAGCCTTTGGGTAAACACCAGATTAAAAGTGTTAAATATTTGCTTTGCATTCAATCAAAACTAAACTTATATTAATTATTAATATAAAAGTTCACTCAAAATACAAAGTCACCAAGGTCCCGGGAGTTTAGGACATTTGGCTTCAATAATATTTACTCAACTTTTTGGAAATTTTCAGACAAACAAATTTGTAATTCAATCATAATTTTTCATCCGAGGTGTTTGTAATGAGTAAATAATACAACTTAATGCTAAATCAGATTTAAAGATGTATATCCCTGCTATTGAGATTATAATTTATGTCTTAATAATAAGAACTTCCTCTCAAAGAATTTTAATTTTTATAATCTTTAGACATTTTTTCATTAACATTATAATTGTGTAACAATTCAATTAGAGAACACAGAATTCAATTGCAAACATTTGTTGAAAATATTTTTACTTTTTACTTTTTTTGGTTTTTTAAAAATGCTTATATTATAAATTAATTTTCTAAAACATCAATTAAAGGGTTAATTAAATTCGTTATATTAATGCCAGTCAATGACAAATCGTTGGTTTTTGTAATATTTAATTTAAATTGATTTGGTTTCTCATGATTGGTGTTTTGGTTCGCATAATCGGCTGATGGTTTCTCATGGCCTCATTAGAGTGGGTGATATCCCAACAATTCCTGCACAGGTATGTCATACAGAGGTCGCGACAGAATATGGGCCCCTTCTCTGTGCGACAGTGACTGCAATTGCTATCCTCGAGGAAGGGGTCGATTTGGATCTTCTTCTGAAAGCGGGCAGACTTTACGTCAATGAAAGCCGCCTGAACTGCCTTTGTGTAGGACTTGGTTGTACTAAATGTGACGCGTCCTGAGCCTATGGGATACTTGTGTTTGTCGGTATCAATGCCAACATATACCACACCACCGAACAAGTCCTCCAGAATCAGAGCCAATCCCTCGGCGGTGAGCATCCCGTGCAGAGCGCCCACAAACACCGTCTTATTGGCGTCCACTCTGGCCGACGGACTCTTCACGAAAGTCGTGTCGTTTACATTCCACGGGATTATCTGCACGTCTTTCGGTCGGTAACGGCTTTGGTTCAGCGCGAAGTAGTATTTGCCGCCATTACTGAAGTCGTGGATACAGGCGCTCAACAGCGACTTCACCTGTTTGTCCGACTCGAAGATGAGGTACAAATAGCCCGCCTTATCCTTGTTCTGACTCGTCCTCGAGAGGCGCACGTGATGTCCCGGACGCAAGATATTCACGTTTCCAAAGCGAGAAAATGTTAGTTTTATGTCGTGGTCAGTCATCTCCCAGGGAACGCCTCCCAAGAATACTTTGCACGAGTAGACGGGGGTCTTGTTTGGCGCAGAGTTGGGTACACTTCCACTCCACGTGTGTCGGGGGTCCGCGTGAGTGGCGGCGTTTCGGTGCGATTTGGCCGACTGTACGATCGGATCATTTGAGCCAAATTCTGTGAAGTGTTGAGTGGTTTGGAGACCATTGCTTTGGCCAAACATTGGGCTTAAACTGTTGCTATAGATAGGGCTCAACATATTGCCGTAATTCATAATAGATCGCACCGGGATTACGGAGTACGGGCTCACCAACGGTGACGACATGCCCGCAAAGAGTTGGTTGGGTGTCATTGAGCCGCTCCTCATATAGTTATAGTACAGGGGACTGACCAGAGGGGACGGGGTTTCGGGGCTTTTGAATGGAGTCATAGGCGAGTCGCCCATTGAATCGTTGGTCTTGTGTTTAAGAAGAGGGGTCGGCTTAGGGACAGACAGCTTGTAATTGGCAATCGCATCGCTCTTCCTATTTCTGGGTGAATAGAAGGTGTTGTCCGACTCGTTATCGTTATCGCTATCGTGATCATCGGTACAGTTGAAGTGGTGGTCACCGACAGCAAAGGGATCGCCAAACGAATTATCGGTAAATGACAGCCGGGGATACGTGTTGGCCCGGGGTCTCATCGGAGCAAAACTTATGTGCGAAGTAAACTGTGCCCCCCGGTCCACAAGTTTGTCTTTCGAGGGTTTACTCATTTTAAGATCAAATTAACGTCGTTTATATATACAATTAATATTTAACTTAATAAATATCAAGTCTCAACTAAGTTAGACATACAATGCTCTAACAAACTTTGAAAACTTATATGAATAAAACACTTTCAATAATGTTTAAAGATTTGATTAAAAACGGCTTATAGTTAAAACATTGGAAACAGAATGAACAAAAATTGTAATATGCATGTTGGTCTTATATGCCAAAAAAGTGTACCGGTATATATACAATGTGAAAATGTCAACTTTATAACAAACCAAAAATTTCAAATTAATGCATTTCAATGAATTATTCCACTTTTATATTGCTTTCTGATTATGTTGAGTAGCATATCATCTTATAATTGAGTAGAATATCCGGAATTAAATGTTAAAATTAGTCAAATTCAACATTTCTTATAAACACTTGATATAATAAGACCATTTATAAAGTAAAACTTTCTGTCTTACAAATGTGAAAGTTTAAAACTTTTAAATTATTGAAATTTTGTCATATTTTTATTAATAATTAGAAAGTATACTCACTAACAACAAGTTTAATATTCTTATTATAAGAATATAATCAACAAGAATATTAAAATATTGATATGATTAGCTAGTAAACAGTTTTATCCTAACCCTGAGTGTTATAATATTTTAAAACACAACTTAATGTTAAAAATTACTTTCTAATTAATTTTAGTTTGGTATAAAACTTTCAAAATAATAAAATTAGTTTAGAATTTGATGAGAAATTATAATACAATGACAAATGAGAGTTGAGTAGATATGCAGGTAAGTAGCAAAATAAGTTATTCATGTTATTACATTGTTAATAATTAATAGTCTATAAATTATAAAAGCCTGTGATGTGTACTTGGTCTACTAGTGAACTGAACATGAACTTTCAGTCTATTAAATAGACGCTATTTCAATGACAAAGTCATATATCCTCACATTTAGATGTGAATAATAGGAACAGATATTTGTTTAGTAGCACTCGTTGAATGCAGTTTTAACTTTAAATTGGGTTGAGTTTGTTATAACTTATAGTATTTAAATGTTTCAAATGAATTTAGTGTGAAATAATTTTATTTCACAATTAAATTCTACTTTTTGGATACTTTATTATGTTATGCATTGATTACAATTATCTGTTTACAGACAAAGATGAATGAATGACACTCGAGAAGAATATCTGAAGAACTCGTTTAGTAATAAAACTTGCAATTGATTGCTTCAAATGAATTTAGTTTTAACACAAAATGTTTGCAATATTTGTTTAAGTTTATAATATAATATATAAACATGATTTAAGTTTGTATAAACCAATAAATAAATAAATCAGAGAGAGAGAGAGAGAGAGAG